GTGCTAAATTAATATAGCAATCTAAAGTGAATTTCATTAATCCATTGTAGGTGCATTGTTAAAGGAACACTCCAGGCACCAAAACAACGTCTTCAAAATTAAGTTGTTATGATGCCAGGAGACCCATGGGCCCATTCTTACCCTCAGGGATAAAATAATTTTCAATGGTATAACCCCAAAGTTGCCTCCAGCGCCAATCTCAGTCCCCCCACCCCCTGTACGCCGGTGACATCCAGCTTCTTAAATTTCAGTTTCAGGAAGCATGGATTGCCGCTGGTAAGGGGTGCCTCTGATTGGATGAGAATGGTCAGCTGACACTCTCAGCCAATCAGTGCCACCCCATTCACAAAACTGTCTTGAACAAGGTAAGTTTCTTTCCAATTGTACATATATCATTATGCCTTTTACCCTCATGGTTCTGTCAACTTGTACTGCCCACTGTCCATGTGCCAATGGTGTGTATTCACGTGTGTGGTGGGTTGGGGGAAGAAAAACTGTGAAGAGGTACTTCGTGCTTGGACGAGCTGCATTTGGTGAGTGCTTCGAGATCAGAGGTAGACATGAACTAAGGGCAAAAAGGTTTGGAAACTTGGTACATGACCGTAAGATGGATGAGAGTCATGGGAATTGAGAATGTATGAAAAATTCAAAGTACTGTGTAACGGAGGCAGAGGATATGACTAGATGCACCCAACAGAGTTAGAGGAGAAAAGATTAGAAGAGTGGAGAGGGGGAGAGGGAAAAAACCTGTGTATGGTTTGGAAGTAGTTGCTTCAAGCCCATGATCCCTAACTTGGTAGTGTGTTTCAACAGAACGTAGACGCGTCTCCATGAAGCCAAGGGTCCCATACTTTGTGAAATGACCTTGTAGTGTCATGTAATTGAGTAATTGAGTTTATCCATTGTGTTGATATGGTTAAAGGAACACTATAGCATTAGTAATATAAACATGTATTCCTGTATGCTGTAGTGCTCTTCTAACTAATATTTGGAGGTTCCTAGAATAAAGTATGTACCATTTCTCTCTTACTGTGTTGGTGTCCATACTCCTGTCCTTTATAAATCAAGCAAATTTATATTCTCATACCAAGAATTAATGCCCCTCTTTATACATGACAATACAATACTGGCCTTAGCAACTGCCCATTGACATTGCACATTGTTTCTTGTCTAATAACAAGTCCTTATCATGTGTTGTTATCTCTAAGTTACTACCATTAGGGTATAAGTTGCTTGTGCATTCTTTACCCCGAAGTGCATAACTGCATTTTTCTAATTGCATTTCACCTGCCATTTGAGTGCCCATTCCCTCAATCTATCTAAATCACTCTGTAGCAAGGTAATATCTTGCTAATATTGTATTACTTTACAGAGTTTTGTGTCATCTGCAAATACCAAAACATGACTTTTAACGCCTATTTCAAGATCATTTATAAATATGCTAAATAGAAGTGGACAAAGAACAGAACCATGAGGGACACCACTTGCCACCTCTGTCCAGTTTGAGAATTTACCATTAATGACAACTCTTTGTACTCTGTTTTTAAGCCAATGTTACTTATTTCCAATTCTGCTTGCTGAACATTTTGGTACATTTCAACCTTTGTATAGTTCATGACAGTTTCACACCTCCTTATTTCCTATTTCCAGACACCAAAGTGACCGTTATGTAATCAATGCTTTCTTAAATTCAAAGCAAAAACAAATTCAGATACCTTTTTTTAGGCTCTTGAAGCTGAATATAATGTCTTTAAGCGAGTCATTCTTGTGATGTCATCTATGTAATATTTAATGTTCTGTTTCGATACATTATCTGCACAATCAGAGTATGACTCTAAGGCTTCTCTCTTTTAAGGACACATGACATGTGTGACATGTCATGATTCCCTTTTATTCCAGAAGTTTGGTCCTTAAGGGGTTAAGGCTGCTGTTGCTGCGTGCACCAAACTTTTTGAATCATTTATAAGGAATACAAAATAAGAGAATGCAAAAGTTCCCAAATATGTGTCTGACTTGTATGAATTGTACAAATATTTCCCAGCCTTGGGGTATACTAGTATCTGGGGAAAAATGTTTGATTGATACAATGATCATCAAACAAAAAGTGAGGGTATAATTTGGCACAGCCTCTGGGCTGTAAATATAATGGCAGTGAATAAAACACCTGTTTGTTATGCTGTCCTTTTCCAACTCATACATCTTGCCTAGGTTTTTTTCTCTTTTCATCTCTCATTCAATGGCTAAATCAACCTGGAAGATCATCTCCACCCAGCACCCATCCCTGTCCCTTATCTGTTCACATCCAATATACTCCAGGGTCAGTCACATTAATTCCAAGTTCCTTTTTTCTCTCTTATTCTCATTTATCACCTCGGTTGGGAGTGAGCACAATTAACTCTTAGGAGAACAAAGCCCTTATAGCCCACAGATATGTATCTGGAATATAATAAAGCTTGTTAAAATGGACCAAATACAGCATTGGGAACACGTAATCCCTTTTGTCTAATGTGAAAAAAAAAATTTGTACTTTGTGTGTTTGTATAAATGTGAAAAAAATTAAATAAACGGCTGACAGATAGCTCAGCATATAAAGTGGATAAAGTAAAGCTGAAAAAAATGATGAAATAAAGAGTTGGATTTATCACTTGTTCTTTCTTCAAATCCTCCATAAATTAGAATAGAAAACAGTGACGTCAAATAAATCACCTTACCCTCTCTGTCTCTGAATCACTCTCTTTTGTCCCCCTGTAATTCCGTTTGTCCCTGTCTATTTGTCTATCAATGAACAAGAAAATCTCACTGTTATTGTCTGTATCTGCATGTTAAACAGTGTTAAACGGGTAAATAAAGGCTTTAATGTACATTTCAGACACAGTGTATACAAATTTCATTCCACAGTGTAATTTCAACAACATACTATTAGATCCTGATAAATTTTGTAAGCCTTAATCTTAGACATGACTCGTAAAGCAACTTGCCATTGTAAAGACTATTGTTTAACCAATATACTGGCCATTAGACCATGATCCTAGGCATGTAGACATCTCTTTGGGGAGAAAAAAAACCCTGCCCTCCCCCTGCCCCCTTCACACACAGACTACATTCACACACATATACACCAGTGTATAAATACATGTTTGTTTGTATGTCTCTTATATCCATTCTAAACTGTTATGGAATATGTTGAAATTATATTTTATGTTTAAAAATCAAGTGAATACATGATATATAGAGAGACAGACCAATAGCGAAAAAGAGAGACTGGCAAACAAAAAGAGACAGATTGATATATGGATGGATGGATAGATAGATAGATAGATAGATAGATTGATTTATTTATTTTAGCAGTGGTGGTTTCTAATATGAATCATTCCCTTATTTCTTTATAACATTGTTGACTTGGTTGTATTCCTTCCCAGCCCCTATTAATTTCAATAGGACTGCAGACAGTATTCTAATGGCCCACCTGCTCCAATGAAGAATAGACAGTGTGACAAATGCCAATTATATTGGTTTTCTGGTGTCACAATGGGTTTCAATCCATCCCCTGGATACATACAAATGACATGTTTCTATGTGCATTTATCTTTGATGGGTTTCAAGTCACCCTGCATTCTAAAGGAACATTTGCAAAGCAAGTCCTCCCATTTAAACTTAGAATTGTAATGAGTGTATTTGAACAAGACATTTTAGTTTAATCATGCAAACACTTCCAATTAACTCCTTTCTTGCCAAAAAATGGAGCATCACAATGACACTTCTAGCACTGTGGCAAATAAACAAATACAACAGAATATCTTAATATTCACCTATATATAAGAACTGGAAAAGTTTCTGATGGGGTAGATTAAAAGTCATATGATTAATCCAGTGTGAATAGATATTGAATATACAGAAACAATTAACATATAATGTATATACAATTCTAATCACCTCACTTAGCTACCTATATTATTATGGAGATGGCTTTAGCAATGTCCTAATGAACACATGGATACTAGTTTTACTTTCAATTTCAGAATACTTTGTATATATGTTCTATTTATATAGACCAGCTTTGCACAATGCCATTTTGAACAAAATAAAAACATAATGTTAAAATAATACATATCATATATATGACAAAGGATAATAAGGATAATAGGGATAATAAGGATAATAATAATACTATTTAATGGGATAGTAATGATTATAAGTAAAACCATCAATCCATAAACTTGAAGTTAGATAGATAGATAAATAGAACTATAAATAGAAAGATAGATAGATAGAACGATAAATGGAAAGATAGATAGATAGATAGATAGATGTATAAATAGAACGATAAATAGAAAGAAAGAAAGAAAGAAAGAAAGAAAGAAAGAAAGATAAATAGATAGATACCTGGCATTGGGCTTATTTACTAAATGTATGAAAAGACGGATAAAATGACTGTTATTATAGTATCAATTAACAGAATGTATATCATGCACGCACAGATAATTCAGCAGTTATAAGGAACATTAACAGAGATAAGCTACTTCCTATCACACAATTATTTCTATTAGCAATCAGTATCTTTTTTCCCCCCATACACCATTTCAACCAGAGCAAACACAAGTTTTTAATGATAGTAAGATACAAACATTGTGTGTTGTAATTAAATGAGTGTAATGATGCTTAAATTACCATCACAGACATAAAATTCCATTACCAATGTTTAATTAATTATTAAATTTCCTCACCATGGTGTCAAATTGAAGAACATTAAAGAAACAGCACATTCTAAAAAATAAAATAAAAAAGTCTGTATAGTAATGAAACAGATAAGGGATTATCTAAAATTGTTTTTCGTAAAATTACCAAGCTATACAACACAAATCATTTTACAGAACCTCTGCCAAAGCAATGCATCAGTGGACTCTGTTTATTATAAAGACAATTAAAAGTACTTGCGGTGTAATAATGCTAAAATATTAACAAGAAGCTTTCAGCTATGAAATTGGGACAGGTTAAATCTTACCTGCAAGCATGCTGTAAGTCCATTTTTTTTTTTTTTAAAGTCTTCAGGAATTCATTGAAAAATAAAATCTCCTACCAGGATGCAGCTGTAAATCAATGTATGTTGGGTAGCACTAGGGGTAATGAAAAGAATAACGAGATGATTTGTGTAGCAGCATAAGAGCTACACTAGGCAGCCACATCTATTGAGGTGCTATGCATGTGAGATACTGCAGGAAGGGTGTGAATAGGATACAGATACACTGTATCATTGCCTTGGTGATCTGCAGTCTGAGGAATGGCTAAGGTCAGGATCTTTTCTCTCCAGACCCCCGAGCCTGCCCTCTCTGAGCCATCAGCAATGATCAATAGGATAAGAGAGGGAGATTCTGCTCTCTAGTCTTTTAGTGAAGGTGGGGGAGACAAGAGGAAGCCTGGGCTGCTTTGAGCATGCGTGGGGGGGTTTATCTGCACCTTTTATTTAGCACTGTTGGTGTTTGGTCCAAGTGCTGCACTGCAGGGGTTGTGTTACCGCGAAGCTTACCACCTGCTAGGGTGGTCCTGGGTGTCCCAAGTGAGAGAGCGAGTTAACCCTTTGTGCTCCGGCACCTTGCACCAAGGGGGGTGCAGAAAGCGGGGAGAGGGGGGCTGGGGAGGAGGTGAGAGTCTGAGGGATAGGTTGTAGGGGAGGTGACTGAAAAGGAAAAGCTGGCAGTCAATGGATAGATATACAGGTAGATAAAAGGTGTGGGGCCAGCTGTGAGGAGAAGACACAGAATATTTTACAGAGGATATTCAGTATGTAAAAGTGAGCAAGGTTTGATCAACCAATATTGCTTGTGTTTTTTTAATATTTTTTTGGAAGGGGGGTGTGATGCCTTCACCTATAATTTTCCTGACATGCTTTGTTCCATGATATGAAATCATACCCCTGGCCTTTGTCAATAGCTGTATAGGGGCACAGCAGGGGTGCAGGAACAGTAGGGCCACAACACAGCTCTAAAATGCCACTGTTTGTGTGAAAGCCATTTTTTTTTGTTTTTTTTTGGAAAGATAGATTTTGTTGGCATGTCAAAAAAATAATGTGTTTTTTTTTAAAAAAGATTCTGTTATGTTATCATAAATAAAATTAAATAATAGCAAGAGATACCCAGCCACCCAGGTCCCTGCCCCTCCCCCCTCCTAATTGAGCCCTCAAAGCCCTCCAATTTGTAGTGACAGTTGATGCGCAGTAACAATGGAAATAAGTAAAAATTACCCTGCTTCCACCATGAAATAACTGTGTGTGGAATTGGGAAATTATTATAATAACTTTACCATGTATAACAAGTCTAGCTAAATGGTAGTTCACTCAGCTGCTAATAAAAAGATACTAGCACAAAGATTAAAACCACTGGACAGGCTAGCTCAAATAACTAGTGCTATTGTTAATACCCCTATGGCCTAGCTATAACTGACCGGTGAGCTTGTTGGATTGTTCCATCCATTGGAATTTGTACTTTATGAAGTCTGCCATTAATTGAAAGAAAGAGCCCAAGATACTGAGACTGATAATCTTTCTTTCAGATGTTATCTCCACTTATTACATGGAATCCTATGTGAGTGTCTGTTCTTAATTCCTGAAGAAATAATGAAAGTGCTCCTTATCGCTTATTAGCTTGCATGGTAGTTTCGTTCATGTGTTATTTTTTTCCTCACTTTTTTATATTCAGCTCTACATACCTGCTATAAGTACAGCAAGGTGTATTTTATATATTTAATGTACCATTGCCCTAACAATAATAATAATAATAAATAACTATGTAACAGTGAATATAATATAAATAGGTAGGGATAGACTCCTATACTTATTTGACTCTGTGGCATATGAATTTAATCTCGTTAAATAGCAGTATCACTCTATTTAAAGTGCATCTATATGTGTAGATATGGCGCAATGTATAATTCACTTTAAGACAAGTATTAGTATCGTATAGATGGACTTAGACACAATGACGGTGGTGCTTTATGTATTATGCCATAAGCTAATGGAATTACAGCTAGAATTGTATTATTATTTTAAGGTACACTCAGAGCTAGCATTAGTGAGGTCTTGCTCAAGTTCTTAACTGGTTAGAAAGATGTTTGTGCCTTTAAAGAGACCAAAATCATTTTTGATTAAGTGTTTTTGGGCGTAGGTACTGCAGCTTTACCTTTGAAAACAGTGCCATTCCTGCTTTTCGCAATCCTCACTCCTATAGTCACTATCAATCATACGGCCACTAGGGGTTTTAAACTAAAATAGGTTCAATAATTTAATCTATTTTATGGCGGCGTCAGCATGCAAAGTAAGCTAATGCCAGACAGTAGGTGTGTGTAATTTTTTAATATTATTATTAGCATTCACATAGCAGCAACATATTCCGCAGTTCTTTACAATTATAATATAAGGATATTTGACAAGTAATTCACATTAAGAATAGTAACAGTGATACCGTTATAATCAGAATTATTAAATTATTCAACCTCCCATTGAAAATCAGGTTTACTGTCAAAATGTATAGACTTTCAGCTGTTTGCAATGAACAAATGAAACAAAAGCAATTGAAATAGCTCAATACAATGATGCCTTAATGGGTTTCCCCCAATTCAACTGAAAATGCAACCTATAATAACGTCTCCAGTCTCAAAATTATTCAACCCCCTGAATAGAATCCCTCACAGCAGTACAAATATACAAAGCAGGTGTTGTCTCAAGCACACCTGATGTGACTAATCCAGGGCTTCATTTGTTGCACTAGGTGTGCTTGAGGTGGAACACTTGAAATATCTGAACTGGCTAGGGGTTTGCTGAGTGCCATGTTTGACTGCATGTTAGTAATATGTCAAAAGAATGGTCCACAAAGTTAAGAGAAGAGATCAGCGTCCTTCACAAACAAGGAACAGGATACAAAAAGATAGCAAAGGCACTGAATGCTCCTAGAGACACAGTTGAAAGCATACTTTGCGAGTTCAAACTTGAAGGAACAGTGGATACATTACCTAGATGGAGCAGAAAAAAGAAACTATAAACAGTTGCATCCAGATTTTTGAGAAGGCAGGTTGTGAAAAACCCTTGAGTGCCTGCAGTAGACCTGCAGCAAGACTTGGTGGCAACAGGCACTGAAGCTTCAATGAGCACAGTAAGGTGCATACTAAATGCAGAAGGTTTCCATGCCAGAACTCCTAGACATACACCACTACTGACTCAAAAGCACATGAAAAGTCAGCTCCAGTATGCTCATCATCATAGAAATAAGCCACAAAAGGTTTGGGATTCTGTTCTGTACAAAACTTGAACTTTTCAGGCTAATGGATCAGCGGCATGGCTGGAGGATGTAGAATTAGGGATATTCTAAAAAGAACACTCTGCCTACAGTTAAGCATGAATTAGCTGTGTACAGGCACTCTTTTATCCGTTTGGTGCAAAGTATCGAGGTGGCCAAAAATACCTCAAAATCTACAAAATACAACAAATAATGATACTGCACTCAAATAATCGAAATAAAGTTCATTGCAAAATTTAATAATCATTAATTAATTGGTGTAATTCATTAGTTATGAACCACTGCAAGGTTAGAAAAATTAATGATATATACACACACACTACAATTGATAATATGTACAAACTGATGTAAACCAATATAGTTTGGTAGAAACAATGTATTTTTAATCTACTGTTATAACTCCATGTTAATTGAAGAGAGTCCCTGACCACATCAAGAGGTTAAGCACTGAGTTGCTGTATCTGGAAGTCCAAACAGCTATAGTCATCCAGGAGTGTAGGAAAAAATAAACAAAAGAAAAAAGAAAAAAAAGAAAAAAATGTGTAAAAAGTGAAAAAATATATGAAAAAATATATATATATACAAAAAAGCAAAAAATGAAGAATAAAGTATATACAGTCCCAGTGTGCACACACTATGTTGTAAAATGGATGGATCTCACCAATAGAAGAAAAGAGTCCAGTTATCCAATTCTTTGTGTTTCTTAGTGCAAAGGTGAGGTCGCTATAATTGGTGTCAGATCATTCTTCCTTAGCTTTCAGGAAAACTGTATATCAGAGAAGATTCCCCACTTGTCCTGGGAGTGTTCGAATAAATACTTCTTGTCAGCTGGTCCTGGGTCTACATCAGTTTGTACATATTATCAATTGTAGTGTGTGTGTATATATCATTAATTTTTCTAACCTTGCAGTGGTTCATAACTAATGAATTACACCAATTAATTAATGATTATTAAATTTTGCAATGAACTTTATTTCGATTATTTGAGTGCAGTATCATTATTTGTTGTACAGTTAAGCATGGTAGTGACTAGGTGATGCTCTGGGATACTTTGCACCCTCTGGCAACGGAAACCTGCAGCATGTGGAAGGCAAGATGAATTCATCAAAGTACCAGTAAATCCTAGGAGAAAACTTCATGCTGTGTGTGAGGAAGCTTAAGCTTGGGCGTCATTGGACCTTACAACAAGATAATGATCCCAAACATACCTCAAATTCGGGGCTTGGCTGCAGTCCTGAAAATTTCCTGGAAAAGTCTCCATTGCAGTCACCTGACTCTAATCCCACTGAAAATCTCTGGTACGATTTGAAGAAGGTGGTTGCTGCACGCAAACCCAAGAATAATACTGAGCTGAAGGCCATTGCTCATGAGCAATGGGCTAAAATTCCTCAGGAACGCTGACCAGAAGCTGGTGTCTGCCTATGCATCTCATTTGCAGCAGGTCATAACAGCAAAAGGTGCTTGTCATGAAGGGGTTGAATAATTTTTAGACTTATTTTTCACTGGTCACAAATACATTTTTATTATGTAGTTTGCACTAACTTAATAGGGAACCGTGACTTCCTAGGATTTTTAATAATATTTTTACTTATCTCCCTAGATTTAGCAAAAATTTATTTGTGACCCGTCTAATGGTTGTTGACTCTTTCGCAATATTTTGGCACAATTTATTAATTCATATTTTTCATCTGCTGTTTTTAATGTGCTCAATCTCTTTTTGGAACATGTGCCATATGTTTTCCAAAGCAAAAGATTTATGATTTTTTTCGCCACTCTAAAATGTAAATTCCTGTTAAAACTTACAGAATTTACTATGAAGAAAACAATTTGTTTTTAGATCACTTGATGTATATGATGAAAATAATGATGGGATTTTACCACCACTTTTCTTTGTATTTGCAAATTTTATTAGAAGGTTTTACATGCATCAGTACCAATGCAGCTCAAGTAATGCATTTGCAATGATAGACAGAAAAGGTTACAGACTTGTCAAATTTTTGTATAATGCAGCTGAAATAATAATACACATTACAGAGCATTTTATAATCGGAAATGAAATTATCACAGCAAGTGGTGTACAATTTTCTATAAGCAATAAACACACA